GGATAGTGTGCTAAGCTCTATTGAAGTGAAAAATGGATGAGCCCAGCTTTTAGCGTAGACTTCATCTAAACGTTGTGTATTTATCACTCTCAAATTTATCCTAAACTCAATTACCAGATCACGTATTAGAGCTATAAATTCATATAGTTCAAGGTGACTATGAGACTTTGACTTTGGAACAGGGTATATGTAGAACTGTAGAGGGAAAATTTCTCCATTATCTGATGTATATATATCTATATTATCAATCTCAATTGCGTTATGTTCATATGCCAGTTGGCAGCACTACACTCGCTATGTCTATAAAAGGATGTATTGAAGTTGGTACTCTCTACTCAAATATTAACAGTCTGCAATAGTTTTACTATACACGCATCACTTGATGGAGGAAGTCTTCTTCTGCAAATGTACATGTATCCCACTGTGTAGTTAATGACTACTATGAACAGTGCATCAACCCTATCAAGACAGCAATTGCTTTCCTTACAGAAAATTTCCCGGAAGTGATAAACATTCATTGCTTCTTCAAATTGGTCATACTTTCTTTCATACACTGTTGTAAAACTTCTCAATTCAACAAATATATTTAGTGTGACTACGTACTGGTTATATGACGATTGATCCAGTCTCATGTATGTTTGTTTTTAATCTTGATGAATACGTTCTCTGTTATTCATGTTCGACATGAGATCATATAAATAATAAAAAAAAAACATTAATGCTATTTCAAATTGACTTTCTTTTTTCTAAAAGTTCCCTCTAACACTGGAATAATATTCATCCATTCTCACTAAAAGAATTAAAGTCAGTTCATAGACAGCGCACAAATATTACAATGAATAGACATTGGTCTCTCCAAAAACATTCAGAGAAGAGAGAAATAAAAACTTATTTCTTCCAAAAATTTCCAAGCGACCAAGTTTTACTAGAGTACGACTAATTGATCCAGCATATACATATCCAGGACGACTCTGTACTTAGTGTATAAAAATTCATCCATCGTATCATGATTTGGTTAATTTTTATCCTGTTGATTGTATTTCCTATTATAAATATCAGTGATATGATCGATCCGGTTTAAAAATTTTTCGGTTCGGTTCCAAATATTCGGAACGAATTTCTATCCAAATATTTATTTAAATACATTTAACTTTATTCGAGTGCTCTTACACCTTTTTTTCTTATTCTTTTCTTTTCTTCTCTCTCTCTCTTTTTCTTTCCTCTCCGACCGTAATAATTTCAATGAATTAACACACTTTTCTTCTGTCCTAAATGTTAGGACATTCTAACAAAAGAACACGTTGGACGTTATCTTTATATAACATACTCTACGCTGGAGTAGATGACAGTTATTTATCTCTCTCCTTGTGTTTCATTTACTCTCTTATGTATGAAAATACATGTATAAGTAATAGCAAAAAAAAAAAAAAAAAGAAAAGATGATAATTCGAATAAAACTGAATTTCGGTTCAAGTGAACCGAAGATTTTACAAACATCAAGTTTCATTACACAGAGAGGGATTTGTAACAAACATATTCACTTAGAGTGAATAAAGAAAGTGTAGTTAATTTCTGATTTTTACTCAACTACTTATTAGTTTCATTCAGTGTACCTTTTTACAGACTGCATTTCAGTATGAAGCACTCATATATGTATATAAGTATCAATTAATTGTCATGTTGTAATAACTCTAAGCGGATAACGAAAACATTATTTTTAACGTTCAGGGAATATATAACAATGAACATTTTAATTAAGAAAATATCACATAAATGGAATTTCGAAATAGATCGATAAGTAAAGCCTAAAAAGTCATTGAAATTGTTCATTTTGCGATGATGGGTAGATTATTTCTCTCAATTTTAGGTTCTCTTTGTTATATAAGTCTTCTAAGTTGAGAGTAGAACTGGATTTAATAAAGTAGTAAAAAATTATTATAAGATATTACTTAATTTTCTTTTAAAATGAGTGTATTATATAAAATGTAGCCCCTATATGTATATCTGCACTGAACGACGACGACAAAAAAATAACTTGAACGGCTCTTGATTAACAGAAAAAATTGACTAACCACTGAAAATAAACTAGATTTCTATCATTCAAAATTTCTTTTACCCTGAGAACGAAAATGCTCGTGTCTTTAAGATCATTTCTACTACAATTTTCTAGTTTGTTTATAGAACTATCAATGACATTATAAGCATCTCTTCAATAAAGAATTTTAGGAGAATATTCTTAGAAAAAAATAATAGTTTTGAAACTTTCTTTTCTCCTTGATTTTTAATCGGTTCAGCTCTGTTTAAAACTTTTTCGGTTCGGTTCTTAAAAAAAGAAGAACCGGTCCCACCACTGATACATATCTGATATATTATTATTTAGATAGCTTGTAACTAGCATTTCGATTGTTTTGCATTCTTTTCTTTTATAATCAACAATGTCAAAAGTTTTTTCCTGGATCAGGATCAATAGTGTAATTGTAAATGGTTTTCCAACTGTCTAAGGCTGACTAAATAATACTTAATTAACTAGCACTGAATGGGTGAAACATAATGTCTGATCTTTGGTATTTTTTGTTAATAAGAATATGCAAAACATTTGACATTCCTTCTATGTTTTTGGTTTACTTTTAAGAAAATTTACAATTTAGATTGTTTAGCTTTCCAATGAAAATTTACGGAAGAGACACCTGTTATTTATCAATCAAAAACATCGATTAGCTACTTATGTTAATCCGTTAAACAATTTGAAGAACAGCATATTCATCTTTCTAACTCATGGTTATGCACATGATTTTTAAGCAAAAAGACTAATTGTTTGAATCTGAGGTACCCTTTACATGAGTACCAAGGCTAGAACGCAATATTCAGTGAATGGAGATAAATTTAATAAGGAGTTGAGTTTTCACTGAGTGCTTTTGAGCAATTTTTTTTTCAATGAAATGTTTTAGACTTGTTGAAATGTAGTAATGTATTGTCAATTAATATAATGTTCAAGCTTCTGCATATCATACCTTGAAGAAATATTAATTTCAGATAACAAAAGTTTTTCTGCAGTTCTGTTGATTTTTTAGAGGAAATGTGAAGATAAAATAGATTTGTTTAAAATTTTATTGGCTTCTCTAGCATATTGAGCTTGTGCCGTCCTTGAATTGATTGCATATTCATGTGAAAAAAGTTGCTCAGAAAAAATATTGATAAGAAAAATTGTGTCTCATTTGCACCCAAAATTTTGAATTTCTCAGGTATATTGGGCGTTTTTTGTTAGAAATGACGTTTTAACGACTTTTATGCATTAATTTAACGGACTTGAGCAGAAAAACGCATAAAAAAAGTGGAAAAAAATGAAAATATTGAAAAATTCGACGAAAACACGATTTTTTGTGCGTTTTTTGAAACAAACGAAAAACACGCACAAATTTCGACTAAAAGTCGACATTTTAGTTCAAAAAACGTGAAAAATCCACATGTCTGTCTGCTTGGGTTATCACTTAATTTAGTATTTTTGTTAAAAATTTTCAAAATAATCATCTAATAACAACACTTTTTTTTTCTTCATGAAACTAAGAAGAATGATGTTCAGAATATATCAATTGAAGGCTAACATTAAAAACTGCTCAATATCTTTGTGCCATTTGATATCATTAATAATCCATACGTATAAAAAAACAACGTACTACGTCATCACATGTTGTCTTACTCATTTCTTATCTGACAATCTATGACTCCCTATGCTTTTGATTAATACAATGTGCAAGCTTACTTGACAGTTAAAATCATCAGTTATCTTATTATTTAATCAGTTTAAATTGTAATTAACAAGAATAAAAATAATCTACGTCACATGAATCAACGATCTATCGATAAAAACAAAACGCTTATTTTTTTTTCTTTTGAAGTTGCTGGATTTTCTTTTCATATTATATACTCGGAAAGCATTATAATTTTGA